GCAACCACATGTGACAACCCCGGGCTGGACTCCGCTTCGTCCACGGTGAAAGCCGATCCGGCGATCCACAGCACAGAGTTGTTGTATTTCCTCAGCAACCACCATGGATCAGCTCCAGGCATGACGAAGCGATATCGTCCTCTTTTGGAAGGCCAAACAAAGTAGGTTCGCTTTCACAACGAAACACACAGCGCCTTCACGGCATGGCAGCGGCGGCAACAATACTGCAGCGAGAATAAAAGTTGCAAATCTTCCCACATCGTGACGTAGACATGTGGGGGTGTGTTAGAACAAGCCATTTTAGGTAGGCGTGGTTGACTCTTAACTTTTATAAAGAATATCTTTGGATTTGAGACTTTAGTCTTTGCAACTTTACAGATCTTCTTGTAAGAGCTTGTAACACTCCAAAGAGAAAGGAAAAATTGAAATCGCATCATATGACCCCTTTAAAGGGATTTTGGGTAGTTGTTTTGGGAACAGACCAGATGGCCAACGAACTAAACACTAGTTTGACTAGTAAGGGAGCCCAGCTAGATCAGATGAATACCATTTTAGGCCAGAAAAGACTGGGTTAACCTATTATTGTTATAATTTATGCAATAAAATGTTATTTCATGCTATTTCTCACAGGAGATACAGCGGAGACATGGACTGGCCAATTCAATCTCATCGTACCTGATCAAACCCGTTCAGAGAATCACCAAATACCAGCTTTTGCTGAAGGTGGAGACTCAGTGTTTTTGTTCAGTCTTTACCTGATCTGAATCAGTTTGCTGCACTAAATGGTTGTGTTTGTGTCTCTCTCTGTGTGTGCTGGTTCAAATGTGTTCGTGAACAGGAGTTGCTGACATGCTGTGAGGAAGGGAAAGGAGAAATAAAGGAGGGTTTGGAGGTGATGCTCAGTGTGCCTAAACGTGCTAATGACGCCATGCACGTCAGCATGCTGGAGGGTGAGCGATAATCACGGCAGCTGTACTGAAAACCTAACTGTGTGCAGAAGTGCTTTAAGTCGCAAATAGCTTTTCAAGTATTTTCTTATGAATGATGACTGTCTTGAAAACAGATTATATTTATTTGTTCACAAACGGTTGTTTTTTAACATCATTCATATAATCCGCAAATATTCAACACAAAGTAACGGATTTTTAAAAACTATTTCAACGTTTTTTTTTTCAAAGAGAGAATGCATTTTGCACGATTTTAAAATACAGTTTAAAAAAGAAATACAATTTTGTTTGTTTTTATTTTGTTTTATTTATTATTAACACTCCAATTATTATAAAAAATATTCTTATTAAATATTTATATTTATTTATTTTGCTTGATGAAGCCAGAATCGGAATTTCAGATCGGTGAGTTTTTGATATTTTTGCACTTATGCATTTGTTTATCTGTGTAATTGTTGTTCTGGTTTCAGGTTTTGATGAGAACCTGGCTGTACAGGGGGAGTTGATCCTACAGGACACCTTCCAGGTGTGGGACCCCAAATCTCTGATCCGCAAGGGCCGGGACCGACATCTCTTCCTTTTTGAGATCTCCCTCGTTTTCAGTAAAGAGATGAAAGACTCGTCAGGACGCACCAAATATGTTTACAAGAACAAGCTTCTGGTAAGGAGCTCCAGGATGATAAGTTGTCAAGAAGTGTAAACATCATCGGCAAAATGAGGTCTTTAGTGCCTTTTTCCCACTTTATTAGCTGGATTTGAGACTTTAGTCTTTGCAACTTTACAGATCTTCTTAAATACATATTAAATACATATGTTAATTGTTTCCTATTTTGTTATTGGCATGTTATTAACAAATTATTAAAGATGATCAAACATGATAGATTTAAGCTATACAGCTAGCGTGCTAACATAGGCTAATCTAGCATGCTGAGCAGGTAAAGAACCATTATAACCAATTTATATACCATTATAAGTAACATAAATTAAAAAGACAGTTAAAGTCGTTAAGATAACAAATCGAATGTGTAGGTTTTCCAGTCAGACACTGTAGGTTTTCCAATAAATGCCCTTTCAGTCAATGGGATCACAAGTTTGGACTCAATTGTGCAGGGGGATGAAATTGCCCTTGTAGGCCATGAACTGTTTGTAAAAACCTACTCAAATGAAAATAATAACGATACAATAAACTATGTGTACAAGTCAGCTTATGGTATTGTGCACTTGAATCCCAATATAACCGTTTTCTCTAAAGGCAAGTGATCGGGAGCCATCTTGGGAATGCACTTAGGCAGCTGTTTTCAGTCATGGAAATAGAGCCCCTGTCTAATTGAATGGAGACTGAGTTTTAAACTGATTCACCATAATCACTTGCCAAAATCACATTTTAATAACATATTTCAAATCAGCAATAAAATCATGAACAACATGGACTGTATAATAAAAGTTGCTTCTTACCCTTATGTTCATTGACCCTTTTTCAAGGTTACTTCATTACAGAACTACATAAGTGGCGACCAGTAAATGTCTTTTACACCATTGAATTAATCATTAATTCAACTCAACATATTTATTCAAAAACACAGTTGTTTATGGCACAAGCTGTTTACAAAAGCATAAGAATTATAACATGTATTCCCTTATTTCTGACAACTGGTCTTTATAGAAAAAGACAACAGTAATAGTCTTAATGAAATTGATTATGGGTTTCAATAACATTCTTATATCGTTTAAATAGTGTATGGACATCATTAGTGTTTTTACACATTAATAAGTTCTTCTGCCTCTCTTTCATTCCTTGATGCACAAGATTGATTCATATACTGAACTGAATGACCCCTTCTTCTAGTTACTGTTTCGGTCAGCAGGTTGTCATTCACAAACAAATGCTATTTGTTTACCCCATAATCAGTCTTTGTAGGCAGGAAAAAGCCACACAGAATCAATAAGATCTTTTCCTGGCTGTGCTATCTGCGGTGTGTGGGACTTTGGAAACAAATTCTCGACCTTTAATTGCATAACAAACTGCAATGCTGATTAACAAAATTTGCATGTCTACTATAAATCTTTTTAGAAGAAATATGGTTTAAGTGCAAAAAAGCAGATTAAATATATGTTTCATGGTTTCTGGTTTACATCTGTTTTGTTCAGTTTGGCTAAAAGTAAAGAAGAAGTTAAAAGAAACAATTTTGTTTAAATGGTATTTCTGCTTCACAGTGTTGATGTGCAGAACATACTGGCTAGCTTTACAGGCTGCAGAAATTATTGTGGGTTTTATTTAGTTTTTGTTATTACATAACAGGAACTGTGCATATTTTTTACATTTTAGCATTATGTGAACTAATTATGTTTGTGCTAATTTATTCAGGTGGAAACAATGTACATGATTAAATCATAAATCCAACACACTTTTTTCAGTTTATGGTCTTCTTTCTTTCTTTCTTTCTTTTTCTTTTTTTGTCTTTGGGAAAATAAATGGGGAATGAATTGGGGATTATTATATGTAAGTGCATGCCTGTACATTAGAGCTGCACTTATTTCATTGCACCTGTTGAACAAGATTAACTTGCATGTCTAACTTGCATGTCTATCTGAATGAACAACATCTAAAGTTTATTAACAAATGACATAAAAGTGTCTGCTAAATAACGTGGGCCAGTCGTGGCCTAATGGTTAGGTTTGAGTCTCGGTACCGGCAATGATTGTAGTTGGGGGGAGTGAATGTACAGTGCTCTCTTCCACCTTCAATACTACAACTGAGGTGAGAGCCTCAAGCAAGGCACCGAACCCCCGGACACCGCAGCAAAAATGGCTGCCCACTCTCTGGGTGGGTGTGTTCACAGTGTGTGTGTGTGTGTGTGTGTGTGTGTGTGTGTGTGTTTGTTCACTAATCACTGCTCACTACATACTTGGCCACATGTCATGTCCTTTCCTAAATTAATAAATGTAAATTGTTTTGGTGACATTTCAACTTTATTGACTGCAGTTGTGTAGCTTTGAGGTAATTCTTAAATTATAGCATCGCATTGCAAATGGATAAAATGTTTTCTTTAATGTGTACCAACGTCTGTGAAGTTTAGAACAGTGCCTGAAAAATAGTTTCAGGGCAGGGTAAATGTAGTTTTTTTAACATAGTTCCAATTCCCCTTTTTCCCTCCATATAGGCATATCATACTTGGAATGGGCAGAGCAGAAGGGAACATTTTTGTGACTAATCAATAAAATAAATACATAAGCAATGGCTACAATTATAGTTATACAATTACAGACTACAATTATAGTTCATTTATCTCTCTTGGAGCTTGACACATCTGTTTCACTTTGATTTGTATGGACTCCTAATGTATGACATGACATGTTGCATGGGCTCCTAAATTGCATATAGCGAATTAAGCAAAATTATGTCAAACACTTATGATACGTGCACACATAGAGACATTTACACTCATAGAAGCTTGTTGTCAGCACTGCCCTACAACGTTATCAATAAAATAGTTCAGCCACCTAAAGGGTACATGACATTTCTCTGTAGTAAGGTGGTAACATGGCTGCTTTTGAAGAAGCTAAATAAATGTACAGCTTTTCTATTACAGAGACATAGACGCTGATGCCAAACACTGTTAAGAGCCACACACACTATTTTTTTAAGAATTTTAAATGTCTCCTCAGTATTACTCCTTACACTTGTGGGTCAGATTTTATAAAAAAGACTTTACAAGACTTTCCTGTAATACCTGTATTAAAAATTTTAGAGCTAATTTAATTTTGTGAAGGCTAGTAACTCCCTAAACATCTATGCTGTAAAAATGGCATTTTGTATAAAAACAGATGTACATAATCGATCGATATAAGATTGAGTTGTAAGAACATCCAAAAAGGGTAGTTGACAATTCTGGCTTGAAATGCTCACATTGGCCTAATTTTGCAGTCCATCTTTATTATTGAGCCCTGTTAAAGTTAAGTGTCCTGCTCAAGGGCACAATCATGATAGAGGTTGCTAAGTTAATTCCCTATTCACACTTTGCACATGCTTACCAGTACAAACACTGATTCACTAAGCAACAGTTTTGGAGGGTTCTTCTCCAGTGGTAGGCCAGACTACCTGAATTTCCCTTGAACATGGTCTTGCATAACAAGCATAGGCTTGTGAATTCATTCCAAAGCAACTTGACAAGCAATTTATTATAAAAACCAACAATATCTGCAGTACAAAATTCCAAAATGTACCTTTTAAGACAGAGAGGTAAACAAGCTAGAGAAGTGAAATGCAGAAAGAGAGTAAAGAGAGGTTTTTATTTTAATTGTTATAGGAAGTGCATATATTTACAGTGCTTGTAAAAGATGTCATCAAACTATTTTATACTTAATTTTAGAACTAATATGCTAGCATGTATAGTAATAGTAGTAGTTGTGTGTGTAGTCAATAATAGGTTTTTTAACCTGTATATGTTCCTTTCATTTCAGATGAAGATTGCTGTGATTGGCCAGAGTCTCTTTGGACAGGAAGTGTACAAAGAACTGAAGAAGGATGGCCACATGATTGTTGGTGTATTCACCATCCCTGACAAAGATGGAAAAATGGACCCACTTGGTAAGTCTCTTGTTTCTGTTAGGATCATTGATGTTACTCCAAAAGAGATAATTCTCTCAAAATTTACCCATGCTATCCCAGGTTTATATGACTTTCTTTCTTCTGTGAAACACAAACAGATTTTTCTAAATATAAGCCACCTCTTTGGGTCCATTTAGTGTGTGGAGTCCTTTGAAGTTTAAACGAACACACAAACAGATACAATGGTATTCCATATGACCCCAATTAAGTCTTCTGAAGTGAAAAAAAAATTGTTGTGTAAAGAAAGTGCTCATATTTAAATATTATTTATAAACGATCATTGGGAACGTCATCAAGTTTGAGCGACTGATACACATTATATGGTCTCAGAGATGGATTATTTTTCTAAAAATCTTAATTTGTGTTCTTCTGAAGAAAGGAAGTCATATATCTGGGAAAATTAAAGAGCCAGTAAATGATAACAGAATTTAGATTTTTGCACAAATGTTTGGAGTGAACATTTTGTCCAATTTTTACATGTGATTTGTTCAGACCAGTGCCAAAATATGGCAGGCGGGCTGAATGAAATGCAAATTCACTCTCTGACAGTAACAGTAACTTATGTAACAGCAGCAGCTCTGCTCTTGCACCAAACATTCATCTTGGTCTGAATCTGTCCTTTTTTCAAAAATACATAAAAAATGGAATTCATACATAAATGGAGTTCTTCTACGGTGAATATGTTTTTATATACTGTATTAAAATATCATGGTGATACAACTGTTCTGTTAAATTGCTGAACTGTTCATAATTAAAAAAAAAAAACATTAATTAAATTCATTTAAATTTTAATATTTATATAAAATGTAAATCATTTAAAATATATATGTACTATCCATTAAATATAAGTAATGTGATGCAACCAACATTTATAAACATGCAGAAGAAAACTCAAGACTATGTGTTAAGGTCAACAAGTTTCTTGAAATATAAAATATGACAAGACAAGATCAGTTCAGGTTGTTAAATGGCAAGACAAATTAATTCAGGTCGTTAATTATCTTGTTGTGGGATTCCCCAAAATGTAATGAATTATGAATTAGCTGCACTATGGAACTTTGGCCAACCTCTGTCTTCGAAATATAAAATTGCCTGTTATTTGCAGAAAGCTTTTTCATGGCAGGTGTGCTTCGCCACTGCTCTTTTTTGAATATGAAT